CAAATTAACAGTGTCTGCCTGCAGCTGCCTTGCACCTCCCTGACCGGAGGAGTGGACTCATCCATCCCCCTGGACACAGTCGGACCGGCCCTAGAGCAGCCAGCAATGCTGGCCCCCTTGGCCAGAGCTCTTAGTCAATGAAATACTTTCAGAGCAGGGACGATCCAGATTTGACACGGAAAGGTGGCCATACCTTGGGCTTTCTACAGCTCCTAAAATCTGAGGTGAATCGAGAGCAGGCAGGTCCATGCTGACATAGCCATGAAGTTTTAAAAATGTTTAACTAGAGTAAGAAAAATAAATACTGGGAAAGGTGCTTCTGTAAAGAGCATTTACAAGAAAGCTTTTTACTTTTTCTTGTTTTCAAGCCGAAAAATCTTCTTATTATTACTAACTGTTCCACTAAGTGCAGCAGCACAAGGGCACCAAAACCAGACCGGGCTCTGAGCAGCTATTCCTCTTTGAAACACAGCACCGTATAATCCTGCTCTGAGCAAGTTTAGGCTGCATGGTGGGAAAAACACTGCTGGTTGCTGGCACCTTGCCTTTTCCTGCTGCTACCCTCAAAAACACTGAGAAGGGTTTTTTCGGTGACAAGTTCTGTACAGAGAACTAAAAAACTTCTCTCTGGGTTTCATTGCACTGGAAAAATTTCATAAGAATCTGATTTTCCAAAATAAGAGTTGAATTTTATTTTTCATCCGACTGCAGCACAGTTGCTTTAGTATTTTTGTTGCTGCAGCCACCGTCTCAGAAAACCTGCAGAAAGATAAACCAAGTAAGATGAAAGGATCAATCCCAGAAAGAGAGGGCTGTGCATGTGCAGATAGTGTGGAGAAAGAAGAATCAGCATGACCTTTATGGAAGGGCATAAAAGAGATGAGCATCAGTCCTTGGAATTAGTGAATCACCCTGGGCTCACTAGTGTCCATCATCGTGATATCTGAATACTTGGGCAGAGGTCAATGATCAAAGCAGGCATGTTCAAGGAGGAAGAAAAGATGGCAAAGTGCAGCAAAACGCTAGAGTTTGCTGAAGACCAGATTTAAACCTCATTGTACACCTAAGCTTTGCTACAGACAAAAATGAAGGAACCCAGAATTTCTGTTTGAAAGCTGACACTTGAAACATGCCTGGACCCAAAGGAAAGCAACATAAAATCCAGAATTACCCAAATCATTTAACTCTGATCCATTGTAACTGTCTGAGAATAGCTACTGCAGGAGGATCCTCCTCCTTCTTTTCACAGTGAGCTCAGAATTTCCAGAACGAAGGAAGATATGGCTGTTCTATGGTTATCGTCCCAGTGTGTTGCACCCCGTTTTCAAAAAGTCACCTGCTGCATCTCAAATACTTGATCAAAGTTGCCAAGGAAAAGCATGCATCTCTCAGAACACCTTCCTTTTGCCATTTAATTTGTACTTGTGTTCTTCAGAACTGCGGTAATCCTCTGAGGGCTTAAATCTATGCTTACGGCAAGTGTGGAGGAAGAAAAATCGAAAAGGAAATCTTTCAGGTCATTGGACAGATTTGTAGCCAAGTACTGGAGAACAAGGAAATAAGCCTTTTCCTGAAGAGGCTGAATTACTGAACTGAAAACTGCTTTCAGTTGCAAGACAGATGTGAAAATGCTACATTGAACTACTTGTAGAAAAACCTGTCACAGCCTGAAGCACCTCAGACACACATCCCAGTAGCAGGAGACTGGCTTGTGACACAGGCTTCCTAGGACTGGAGTTATTCCTGTCATTCAACATCATGGCAAGCTCAGAGAGATGAACATAACCTGTCCGGTCAACCAAAAAGCATGCCAAATGTACCTCCTGGCTTCTGCCAACACAACTTGTGTTGCTGCAGACTTCCCAGGTGGCCAAGAAGGCCAAAAACATCCTGGCCTGTGTTAGAAATAGCGTGGCCATCAGGAGCAGGGAAGTGACCGTCCCCTCCCGTACTCAGCACTGGTGAGACTGCACCTCAAATCCCTTGTTCAGTTTTGGGCCCCTCAGAACAAGAACACTGAAGTGCTGGAGCATGTCCAAAGCAGGGCAACAAAGCTGGTGAAGGGTGCAGAGAACAAGTCTTAGGAGGAGCAGCTGAGGGAACTGAGGTTGTTTAGCCTGGAGAAAAGGAGGCTGAGAGGAGATCACCTCGCTCTCTACAACTACCTGAAAGAAGGCTGTAGCGAGGTGGGTGTCAGTCTCTTCTCCCATGTAACAAGTGAAAGGACAAGAGGAAATGACCTAAAGTTGTGCCAGGGGAGGTTTAGATTGGACATCAGGAAAAACTTCTTGGGGGCCGGTTAGCTCAGTGGGTTGAGTGCGGTGCTGACAACAATGACAACACCGAGGTCGCGGGTTCGATTCCCACTCGGTCCCCATGTGTTGCCTGGTCTAGTTGAGAGGTGGTGTCCCTGCCCATGACAGGGAGGTTGGACTAGATGATCTCTAAGGTCCCTTCCAGCCCATGCCATTCTATGATTCTTCACTGAAAGGCTTGTCAAGCCCTGAACAGGCTGCCCAGGATCCCTGGAAGTACTTGTACATGTAGAAGACGTGTACATGTAGCACTTAGAACTCGGTTTAGTGGTGAACCTGGCATTATTAGGTTAATGGTTGGTCTCCATCTTAAAGGTTTTTTCCAACCTAAACGATTCTATGAATCTGTAAGTACAAAGGTCACAAGTGTGCACATGCCAGGATTTGGAAAAAGCAACCCCCAGCCTTTGTTAGTCTTGCACGGGAATCTACAGTCATTATTACTTTTTCTGAGACGCCCTTCTAAAAGGACAGGGAACTCGAGCATGCTTCATTGCTTTCTCCTTCAGCTCCTGCTGACAGACGAGGTTGACTGTCCTAACTGTCAGGCATCTCCTCCCAACCTTGCCAAGGATTCAAAGGCCAGTAAGATTAGTTATCTGCTGAAGGATACCCAGACTTCCCCTCACACGTGGCAAGAACGCTGTGTAGAAAGTTGCAATTCTGCTCTTGTGGCCAATCGCTGTTTTTCACTGGGTTCTGCTTTAAAAGAGATATTACAAAGAATTTAACAGCCACTGTGGCCCACCCAGGACACAGCTGTGAGTCCCAAGCCAGAAAAGAGTGCCCATCTCAGAAGACATGTTAGAAGAGGAAAGTCAAAGAAAGCTGATGGGCTAATGCAGAGAGACAAAGACTGTAAAAGCAAGTGCTGGCACCCACTAATACTTTTAAGGCTCCCTGTGTAATACTTAGTTGCTTCTTGCCAGCCAGTTCTTGCCTTTCTGGTAGCATGTTTATCCCATTTATACGAGGGAGAACAATTCTGTCGAGTTATTGCAAAAGGATTTCTGACCAGCATGTTAATAGTAAGACATGGAGAAGAGCAAGAAAAAAACAGAGAAGGCTGAAAGAGCATGTACTGCCCGCTCTAATCAGAACCAGGATTTCAGGGCCAAGATGCAAAACTGCAGGTCCTCCATTGCTCACTGTGGGTCAGAAGCCCGTGCCTCCAGACTGAGACCACACAGGCTCCAGCTCTAGTGACTTGTGAAAATAATCTCCCCAGGAGAAAGAAAACATACACGTATTAACTACTTAGAAAGAGATTTTCAAAGGCTCTTGATATCCAGCTGGTCTTGATTCACATTGACTTCAGCAAAATACTCTCGGACCAATGGTGAGTGCTCTGAAAAATCCCCTCTTTAACTTGCAATTGAGGTAGGAAAATAAGTGGTGTAAAAGGGATTGTGAAAAAAAACCCAACAAAAAAAGATAACAAATTAAAAATGAAAGGTTAAAATAAAATTTGGCTTCAGGCCATAAACTAGAGGGAAACTAACAGTAAAGATAGTTAAATGACTGGAAAGAGAACGCAACAGGAGCTACTATGAAAAAAAGCTGATGGCTTTTAAAAAAGGATTTGTATAGATAGCTGGGGAAACAAATTCCATATGTGATAGAAGTGCAATTGAGAAATTAAATAAATGGAAAATAAAGATGACTAAGTAGTAGTTAACATGCCCCTTCTCAGTTGTATACTATTATCACATCTATTTTTAATGCCTCTTCAGTTGTCTGCAATTGTCATCCCTTTTTCAGAACTTGTTCCAATGCTCTTTGATACTGAATTAGCTGTTTTTTACTCTCCAATGCTAACAACCGCATCTTTTTCTTACTCAACACTCCCCTTTTCCAACAATGTTATTCCATTGTCTCCGTTTTTCATCTCTTCTTACACGTTGACTCCCCAGTTTCTGAGCTTTCCGACTACCCTTGTTCATTTTTTTTTCTGGAGCTCTTTTGGTTGAATCCTAGCATGTTTCTTTTCTTCTTTTCTAAAGATACAAGCATGTTTTATATCATATCTGGCTACTGTACACATTGTTACCCCTTCAGAAGGGCACTAGCAGTGTTCGTATTCGAAATAGTAAGCTAAACTAAGGGAAAAAAAAGATAGTATTTTTGACTTCTGCTTTCTGGTTCTTAAAAAAGTACCCAAACATTTAAACTCTCCCCTTTTCCTTTTTATCCTCAAATAACACAATCTTTCCATGAGCAGCTGAATATTCAAACAATAACAGGCATCAGAAGCATTTGTGATTCTAGAGCTCGGGATGTATCTAAGCAGAAGAGGTAACATGAGATTTAACAATACTGAAGAAATACACAAGTTCTACCGTGATGTATGGGCTACTGAGCGAACCTGACTTTTCCTTTCTTCTTAACCTTAAAAGCATGCCTGTTCCTTACCTTTAGAGCTAACAATGCTCCATACTAACTTGGGGACATATCTTTATTAAAAAAAAAATGGTTCCAAACATGTTTCAGTCGGCTGAATTCATCATTGTGAAGTCCCCGATTACTCAGCTTCATCATCAAAACATCAGCCCTTAATTCCTCTACTTCAGCACAATTCTCTTTACCTTCCGTATGCAAACCCAACAGTGTAGCTGAGTCGTACTTAACAATGCTCTTTGGAACAATATTTTCAAAATTCAGACTTCCACTGGAGAATAAGCTTACCTTCAGCTGTGCCCGAGATACCATCAGCTTTGAAATTGCTTGTGCTTTTCTTCCTGCGGTGTTTCTTTCTGTTGGCGTGAGGTGAAGGAGGTGGATCGAGTTTGGGGCTTGTCGTACTGGATATACTTGGGCTTGAACACACAGAATCTCCTAACCCGGTATCTACAGTTTTGGGGGGGGGGGCAAAAAAAAAAAGGAAATATAAAAATACTGCATAATTTAAATTAATGATTGCTAGAATCCAAGATACAACCCTTTGCTGTCTGTCAGCAGCTAACTTGTCCAACTCATTGGCTTCCAAAGACTAGCAGAGAGTCTACAAACAACATCCATTACTTTTCCGAAAAGGTACAAAAGAGCAACTCAGCTGAAGTTCTGACTCAAGCCCTATTAAATCAACAGGACTCCGCATCAACTTTAGAAGCAGGCCAGTTGAATTGACAGAAAACAATGGGAAATCATTATTTCCAATTGCTCTTTCTTACAGCGATTTTACTGATCCTCAAATTAACTCGCGTAATGCTAGGACATTTTGATACATAATGGAAGAGAGATATCTCAACGTCCTCTGAACACTATCTGCTTTCATTAACGTAAGAGACAACACACAGAGAAAAGCTGGTAATGGCAATAAAGGTGGGGAAACAAGGTGTGTAACTCCTGTATGCCTTGTACAATTAATTTGGTGTGATAAAGGGTTCTTTACCACCTGCTCCCAATGAGAAAAAAACAATCCTGTGTTCAGGATGTGTTCAGTGTGTTCGCTTTCCCACTGTGTTAGCTATGGTAGCATAACGTACAACAACTTTAAGAACTAGTCATAGTAATTTTCTCCCTTCCCCCACCAATTAGCTCGCTCGAGCAAATAAAAATTAAAGGTTGATGACACCCCTCTCTCATAAGCAGAAATCCACAGTGTGTCCCTGGTCCATGTAAGGGTTGATAACAATGAACGCCGTCTCTTCCAGTAGTCCTTCTCTTTTTCAGTTAAGAAAGGTGTAAAAGGAATATTTAACACAAGTTTAGGAAACGGAGACATCCTTGAAATTTCACTCTCCATCCGGGACCTTTTACATAGCAAATACTCAAGTAACTTTACTCCAATATTTTTCCCCAAGGTTAGTAATATGATTTTAGTATAATTGCAAACAATTTTTTTGGCTTAGTGCTAAATACGTTTCTAGTGGTTTTGTATGTTTGTTTTTAATTACAAAATTTAACATAACACCCTACACTTGAGTGTTTACTATCCTGTAAAGTGAAGCTGTTTCCCAAACCTTGGCTAGACACTACATTGCACTGAAGGGCAATGTCAGGATTATACTTAAGGTAAAGTAGTAAATCAGAAAAATATCATTTAAAAAAGCAACTTCTGATTTTTTGAGTAGCCAAGTCCCATACAACTGCCTAGCTGACAAAGAAACAGTTATTTTGACTATTTTTTTCCTAATTAAGTTTACTTACTAATTGCCCACTAAGTATAGTTGCGCTGTAAATTATTAGCGGGGGATAAAAGATGTAGCTAATTTCCTGGCAATAAAGACCAAATCAAACATAAGCTTTCTATTACAGATTTTTATTCTTTTCCCTGTGTTCCACTATTTTGAAACCAAACATCAAGTATTTAACCACAAAACAGAATTGTGGGAATGTATTTACTGTATATTTGTATAAGAGATTTTAAGTGTGTGACCCAGAAATGATTAAATAAGTGGTTTGCTGTCTCATCAGGTGAAGAGGAAGGCAAACCCTGATGAGGATCCAGAAGGATGCTCTTGGCAAAGGGGGCACCTTCGGCTTCCCGGCCCTGAGAGAAGAAAAGATGCCAAAGAGGATGCCAGCAGTGCAGAAGCATGGCCAGGGATGCAAGTTGGTTACAGCTAGTTCTAAATATCTACCTCCAGTATGAGACTTAAGAAGGTTGCCTAACCTCGGGTACTTAAAAAAAAACCCCAAACAAAAAAAGAACAAAAAACCCCTCCTTTGCTGCAATTGCATGAAAATTATGGTGTTGAGACAGGCCAGCTGCAGAGCCTGGCACTGCAAGGAAGAGGAGTGGGCAAGGTCTGCCATGGGGCACCAAAAATGCATCTTGTCTATTTTCAATTGCTTGGTAAAATCCTGAAAATTCATAAATATCATGGAAAAATTCTAGAGAGCACACTAGCTGGGAAGGTTTGCTCGCATCTTAACACAATTTCTGAAACTGCGTCATTTCTTCTCCTCAGAAAATATGAGCCAAGAACCACGTGGACGGGCCTCATTCTCAGCTTTCCCTTTATAAAGTATTATCTCATTTTACTCAAGGCGAGAAGAAAAAAGTAATCTGAGAAAAAACAGCTCTACTACTCTCTTGTTTCCAAATATTTGCGATGCCCAAGCGCTTGGGTCCCCGAGACAGACGTACAAGGGCTGCGCCCATCACCACGTGTGACTCCAGCGTCAACCACGATGCTCTGAACCGGTAAAACAGTGCAGAAATCACACCCTGACACAAAACCGCAGAATACATTTTTTGGCAGGATCCTGGCCAAAAAATATCGAGGTAGATCCGCTCACTGACAGCAGCTTAGTCTAATTTCTAGGCTATAAATGGCACCAACAAAACCCACCCGCGAGCTCTGAAAAATGAGGATGCTTTACACGCGTACGGTCCGACTACTCGCGTCGGAGAGCTGAAGAATTAACCTCCTATGGTAAATCCTCATGATTCGCAGCCCTTTCCAGGTAATAACGTGCCGTCCTTGGGTCAAACGGCTCTGAAGCGAAGAGCCTGGAGCTTTCCCTCCCCCTCAACCAGAAAAGAAACGCAAGTCGCTCGTAAACGGGCGCCAAGCTGATATTGTTGGTGTATTAATGCCCCGTATTCCTGGTTTTGGAGACCACCCTTTGAAGATGGAAGTTATTTAACATTCTCCTGGTTTAAAATATGAGCAATCAAAAGGCGCCAGGCTTACACGCTGTGCTTTCCCATTTCCCACTACTTCTCTTGCCTGACAAGGTATTCTTCAAATTGAAAAGAGGGCTCCTGAAAGCCCGGCTTCGGAAAACTGTAAATGAGTTCAGGCTTCAGCCCGCTGAATGCAATTTCATACTCCTGACTGAATACAAATAATGCATTTTATTTTGTATCAATTACCACGCCTGAGAACAGACGACCACTGCTGGCACTATTAAATATATTAAAAAAAAAAAAAGAAAAAAAGAAAAAAAGAAAAAAAGGCAAGGAAAAAGGCACACCAAATTAAAAAAGCAAGCGCCTCATTACTCCACATCTAAACCAGCTTTGACAGAGGCACTGGAACTCATAAGATGCGTTTCACTGGGTTAGGATGGGCTGTTTTGCAGCCATCCCGCGCGTTCAATGTCAGCCATTAGTTCTTCCCAATCGGGCATCAATGTTCAACGCACACCCGAAAAAATATATAATACTAGTAATAATAATAACAATCTGCAGCCTCTCCGAGCTTCAATACTTGAAGTATGAGTCAAAGAAGCAGTTTCACTTTTCACTCGGGAAGCTGACAAGCATGACTAGAGGGGGAATAAAATAACATTCAGTTCGCATAAATATCAAGCGGGCTGCTTGAGACTGATGGGCCAGGAATGTATTCTTAGCCATCATTCTGGCAGACAGGCCCAAGGACACTCATAACTTATTTTACAATCATTTAGTTTCAGCTCAAGTGGAAAACGTGACAACTTATCTCTGCTGACAAGATGCCATATCGAACCTTACAATTAACTCTCCCACGATTATCTGCCCAGCCCATCATTAGCTTTGCAGTTTTTGATGGACTGTACAGGCAGCTTTCCTTGATGATGGTCATCATTTGCACAGTGTATATCTATATTATACAACATTAAGGACAAAACTCTCCCCTTGCCACGTAGCAGGGGTTGTCCTGACCGGCACATGCTCAGTTTTGCAGCTGTTGGGCCACGTTTCTAAGTGATGTGCAGCAATACGCTGCTGAAAAATGTCTGTCCTCCAAAACGGAGCATCACCATGCTCTAGCCTATGCCTGCAATCTCCAGCAGCGAGCTGGAGGTGCCCATGCCCTCTCCCAGCAAACAGCCAGCCTTCCTCCCTGCCCACACTCCTCAGTGCAATTATTAACTCCTCTCCGCCGTTAAAGTGAGAGCTGACAGGAGCCACGTCCTTGCAGTTTACCTCTGCACGCTCACAAGGCAAAAAGGAGGGTGCCACGGATTCCACATGCATGTTCGGTGACTTTCTGTGCTGCTGAGAATACGTGTTTCTCATTGGAAGGTGAGTTTCCAGCTTTTTGGGGTCACAAAGTGATGTCAAGCTTACATTATGGGATAGGAGTTTCTACACAAACCAGTATGACTAAGCACAGGCGCTCATTCCAGAAAAAGCAGTAAAATTGTCAATCCAGAGTATATTGAGAGAATATTTACATCTATGAGAGTTACGTGAAGCCATTTTAAAATATGCTGTAGCTCACTCCATGCCTCAAAGCAACAAGTGACACTTGGTTACCAAACCCCTTAGGTTATCACTGATAGGATTTTAGAAAACCTGACCAGCCTGTTGTTAGCATGGTGATTTTCCTGTACAGGTGCATAACACATGGGATATGACAAAGATTCTGCTTGTTAAGCCCAAATATCATTTACCAGAAATTACAAAGCAGCAAAAAAAGCCAATGCAGCTTTTATTCCAGAAAGCAAGGCCCATGCTTGCCTCTCCCCTAGATGCATTTTGTAATTACAATCATAAGAGAAATTCCTTTCAATTATGACAAATTCTGGTAGAAGAAGTAAGAGGCAGAAGGGAAGAGGCACGTTATCTACAACTACAACCCAGAATCATGAGACAGAACATTAAATGAAAAAATAAACCAACCAATCCTTCTAGGTAGAGTCTCAAGGGCTGTGCTGTTGTAGTGCGCTTTATTTGCAGTTTGAAACACTTATATCTGATATCTTCTCGTAGTACTATACCTTGTCTGCAAAAGGTAACATTCTGCACAAGTCTCACTTCTTATCCCTTTACAGCTCTATTATTTGCAAGCCACGCGCTCCACAAACAGATCTCAAGTATGTCTGTCACGAGAGCCCTCCTAAAGTTGAAAAAGGTAAGAAATTCAGGTCAAACCCAGCCTGCGCTTCCTTGGTGTCCCAGCACAGCACAA